CCCCCACCCCCCAAAGTAATCTTAACTGGTTTTTCTAGACTTTTTTGATAATAAGTTCTTGCCCAATTAAATACTTAATTTTGAATATTTTTAATTGATTTAATGATAAAATTATCCAGTAGTGTCTTACCAAAATTCTTTCAATAAGAGTAATATTAAAAGTATTCTTAGTTATATATAACAAAATAATTTATTTTAGAGTTTGAAAGGGAGAAAGCATAGGGAAAAATAGTTTTTTATAAACTGCTAAAAATATTTTGGACATCGTGCCATTATCAAAGGAGAAAAATAGGAGAGACTGCAGACTTCTCCCGACATTGTTCTTTGTTCTGTTTTCCGCACTGTATTCATATGCGTGGCTCATTCTATCCTGTATCTTCTCTGAATATGCTGATGAATGATTCTTAGTTTAGAAAGGAGAGGTATGGATCACAAGTCTGAGTGTTACAGGCTGAGGCCCTTCCCCTCACCAATCATATTGTAGGATGCTAATCTTCAGTATAACATGGTGAAGAGAAGGTCACTGATGAGGTAAGTATGACTGAAATGAAGTCATAGGAGTGAGTCCTAATCCAATAGAACTGGTGTCCTTATAAGCAAGGGACACAGAGATGCCCGTGTGACAACCTGGAGTAAAGGCCTTCTAAAGACCAAGGGGGCCTCGCTTAAAACCATGCACACTGGTCTCAAACTTCCAGGCTCCAGCCCAGTAGTCATGAGGAAATAAATTGCTATGGTTTAAGCCACCTGGCATGGGGTACTTGTTACAGCAATTTTAGCAAATGAATAACAATTAGTGATCTAGTTTATACTTGTTCCTCAGGCTGAGAAATGGCTCAGCAGTCACCAGCATTTGCTGTCCTCCCAGAGGACTTGGGATCTCAGAACCCATGGCAGACTGCTCACAGTTACCTGTAACTCAAGTTCCTGGGGATCTGAAGCCCTCTTCTGGCCTTCATCAGCAGTGGCACTCATGTCACACAGACTCAGATACATACATATAAATCAGTCTTAATATATACACACAATATATAAAACTTGTGACTCATTTCAAGATATCATTTTTTTTTATTTAAAACAAACTCATCCATTTTTTGTCACATTTTGTTTTTTGACCGAACTTTATTTAGCTCACAGGGTTTCTAGGTCAGCAATATTCTATGGATAGTCACATGGCAGTGCTTCTGAAACTTTCTCTTCTGTCACGTCATGGTCACTGGACAGAACTCAAGGAGGTTCTTTTGGATGGTTTTCTCGTGGAAACTAAGATGTTACTTGAAGTACAGACTGGTTAGATTATAACATTAAGCACGTTTTGGACTTTTTGTCTTCGGCGCTGCCTCCTAAGTCCGTGGCAGCTAGTGAAAGACCAGAAAAAAGCATCAGGAGTCAGTGTGATGCAGTGCTTGTATCCTTACATTCCCGTAGGATTTGTGTCAGATCTATAATAGTAGTAGTAGTAGCTTAGAACAACTCCAAAGGCTTTACTATTTAAAACAAATTATTTATTCACAGTTGGCTCACTTAAAAATAAAATTCGTGGGGCTGGAGCGATGGCCCAGCAGTTCAGATCACTTGCTTTTGCAGAGGGCTCAGGCTTCATTCTCAGCACTGGCATGATGGCTCACAACCACCTCTAACTCCAGTTCCAAGGGATCCGATACCCTCTTCTGACCTCTCTGTGCACCAGGCACATCATAGTGTGCATATACATGCAAGATATTCCTTACACACATAAATTGGGGACAATTTGAAAAAGAAAATTCAAGAGCCAAGGGTGGTGACAGACATATTTAATCACAGCACTTGGGAGGTAGAGGCAGGTGGATCTCAGTGAGCCTGAGGCTATAGTGAATTCCAGGACAGTCAAGGCTACATGCTGAGACCTTGTCTCAAAAACCAAACCAAAACCAAACCAAAACAAAACAAACCAGGTGTAGACACATCTGTAATCCCAGCACTCAGAAGGCAGAGTCAGGCAGATCTCTGTGCATTCTGTCTGGCTAGCCAAGGCTTCATAGTGAGGCTATGTTTCAAAAACAAAATATAGGTACATTTGATTAGCAGTTACACAGTCACCATCTCAGTGTCTGTCTCAGTGAGATTAAACAAGCTGGAATCTGAGCCAGTGGCACAAAACCTAGCCTACGGCTGGCACAATGATCTTCACTCTCAGTGAATTCTCTAAGTAATAGACAAAAATTAGAAATAAATGTATGCAAGTGAAGTGAAGAAGACCTGTGTGCAATCTGGGAGGAATTAGAGGAGAGGTTGGAATCAAAATAGTCCAAGCAAATGGTGTCTATGCATGAAATTCTCAAAGAACTGATAAAAATACTGTATTAAAGAACCTCCAATAAACTTAATAAGTAAACGTCAGGAGTCACTTGGAAAAGGCATCAGTATCATCAAGTTTCCTAGTCCTAAGAAATTTCTCCTCGTGGACTCATTCTCTTGTGAAAGACAACGTAACTTCAGAAGTGTAACAAATTCGTCAAAATCTTGTGTGTTCCTGGGGTGCAAGTCAGGCCTCCCTGAGTTAACTGCTACACCAAGCTTGTTCCCACTCCAGTAGCTATTTTACATATCCTAGTTTTTCTTCACCCACCTCTGCTCCTTTGTATGAGTTGGGACCTTAGCACATACACCCCCTTTTCAGGGGAGCCTTCCTAGTACACATCCTATGCACACTATAAGGCTCACTGTTTGGTTTTGTATTGGTTGCTTAATGTCCAGCTCTCCCTTCGGAGGGTAAGACTTAGAGAGAAGACCCGTGTCTTTCCCCAAGGCCTATCTGACACAGAACTGTGAGACCACACACCCATGAGTGCTTTAATGAGTGGGCACAGGGACATCAGAAAGCCCTGCCTTTATTTTGTTGAGGGACATCCATAACTTTGGATTCCCCACCCCCAACGAACAGTAAAATCTGATCAAGGAGTCCAGTTGTGTAAAAGCATCTTTCAGGGCCTTCTACACACAGAAGGCTCCTTTGCCAGAAGGAGTTGCTTCTGAAGCTTACGGTGCTAACCTTTGCAGATGGACATTAACATCCCAGGCTGAGGAAATAGCTCAGTAGGAGAAGAGCTTGCCACTCAGGCACAAGGACCCAAATTTGAGTCCCAGAATCCATGTAAAAAAAGCTGAGCATGGTGGTACATGCTAGCCCCAGTACTCAAGTGGTGGGGTTGTAAGGTAGAGACAGATAGATACATGAGACTAGCCAGTCAGCTTTGCCAAATAGAAGCTCCAGTTCAGTGACAAAACCTGTCTCAAATGACAAGGTGCACAGCTCCTCAGGCCCCAACCTTAATATGTGCACACGTGAATGCATGCATGCACATACAAGTACATACACTCACACACGTGAACAACCCACCACCACCCTCAAATTAGCATTGAAATTGAAATGCTGGGATTCAAGACTAGGACTTTTGCACATGCTAGGAAATGTTCTAGCATTGAGCTACAGCCCCAGCCCAGTGTGGGATTCAAGACTAGGACTTTTGCACATGCTAGGAAATGTTCTAGCATTGAGCTACAGCCCCAGCCCAGTGTTTCACTGTGAATATGAACATTCAGTCAAACAACTAATAATTAATTCATTTTAAGCATTTTAGCAGGCTTTCTGAAAGCAACGGTAAACCCGATAAGTGACTGCAGGGGTAGGAATTTCAAGCCAGAGTAAGTAGCACCATGAAGATATTTGGGAAACAAGCAAAGATTTGGAATTTCCTTCAAGCCACCCCAAGTGGTTTGTCAACTTTAACTTTACCTATAGGACTTCCTTAAAATGTCAATCTATAAAACCCCTTGTATAACCTAGAGAGAGTTTCCAGACATCCAGACAAGTTGTCCAAAGTTTCACAGCAAATGTAGGATGTCAGACTTGCACTGTTTTAATCTATTCCTGACTCCTGGCCCTGTGTTTTATTCAGAAGCCCTAGAGCCACCTTTGAGAGGGGTGCTAGTGCCCAGTTATAGTCCCTTCTGTATATGGACCACTCTGGACCAGTTGACTCCACCCAGAATTATGCATAAGATCTTGGGGGGGGCGCAAAAGAACCCTGAAAATCACAAACTTCTTACCTTACCTGCCTGCATCAGCAAAGCAGTTTCCTGTTAGTACTTAAGGTCTGTGTTTTTGTCAAGTGACACCCACCTGCCCACCCCTACACTCACACTTAGCAAACGCTGAACCCAGCTAACCTTTTCCATCCGAGGCTCCTTCTTCCCGCTTTCCCTCCTCCTCTTCAGTCACCCTCACCTTTGCCTCATATTCCTCTGCCAGGGATTTCCATTCCACCCTGTTATTCTGAAGGCCGTTCAGCATGGGTGTGATCTCTTTGTGAAACCGAGAGAACTCCTGCAC